AGCACTGCACACAGCCCCGCACCCAGCCCAGCCCCCAACCCTGCGCCCAGCCCCGCACCCAGCACTGCACACAGCCCCGCACCCAGCCCGCACCCAGCACTGCACACAGTCCCTCACACAGTTCCGCACACACAGCCCCGCATCCCTCTTCCCCCGGCTGCCACCGCCACCTTCCAGCATCAAAGCGGGGTACACGGCATAAAGAAGCCTTAGGGATTTTAAGACGGAAGTGAAAGGGAAGGGAAATGGGGTTCTCCTGCACTGCTTCATAAATTCCTCCACCCCACCCCGTCCACTCCCCAAAATTCAGTATGACAAGTCTGTGTAGACCACTGTATGACAACAGCAAACTCTAAGGCAATACACAACAACAGTACAGATAAGGCCAGGGGCGAACAAAAACTTCAGGTGATTTGGGGTACAGCCTCACATCGTTAACGCTTTTCATTTGCAAATAAAGTGGAGCTTTGGGGGGGGGGTCTTGCTATGCAAACACATCAACCCTAAACTACAAAATCAACGTCGGAATGAAGATTGCGACAATGGCACTAACTACCTGGCGCTTTCTCTCTTTCTGTTGATTGCATTTAAAAACGTACTTTCTAAGCGATTTCGGCAAAACAAACCCAAATTAGAAGCAGTACAAGCAGGACTTTGCAAACGTTAAGCTTACCTCTCACAATTTACAAGAGAGCTTTTAAAAAAATCTATCAACTCATCATGAAAAAGTAACTCCCTATTTGCTTTTAATAAAAAATAGGCCAAACTCCAAAAAGAAAGAAAAAAAAAAAAAAGAGGAGGAAAAAAAAAAAGAAAAAAGGAGATGTGATCACTATTGTTTGAAAGCACTCGAAAGCAGTAAGATGGTCACAAGACTTGATCTGACTGTTCTGCCCCTTTACAAACTCAATAAAGCTTGCTTTTTATGACTGATTGCTGTGCTGTATTAATCCCCTAGCATATAAAACAAGCCCATTGGAGACTGGGACTCCACTGGGGGAAGACAGGGAAGCTGTTGTGTTCTGCGAATTAATCCATCTAGGAAAATCAAAAGCCAGCCACTCACAATACAGTAATCAGCATGTTCTCCACTGTGAAAGCCCTACATTTCCCATTTAGAAAACACAACTATTACTCCATTATGTACCGAAACACACAAAACCCTTTTATTTATTTCTGTTTGTTATTGTTTGGCTTATATTTATGGGTTTGTGTGTATTCCATTGGTGGGTACACAACCATCAAGTTTAAAAAAAACACAACACCATCAATTCCCAACTACTTAAAAAGGAAAAAGGGACTCCCACTGCTTTTTCTACAACCAAAGTTCTTTCTGGATTTGCTTTGTGAACAGGATTTTTAACTCTTCATTAGCCTAAACAGAAGGAAATTCTTTGCATTTTTCCGCTAAACAAAGTTAATTTTCTTCTCAGGATAATTATGCTTTTTTTTTTTTTTTTCTTTCTCACTTTGTTAAAATTATCTAACATGAGTTTCCTAAGTACTGATGATAAAACAGAAATGAGGTTTTACAATTACTCAATTGAAAAACACTGCACTTCATTTCTAGGTACAATTATTCTATTTTATGATCTTTTGTTGGCACAAATTTAATCCTTTCCTTTTTAAGTTGAATGATGCAGCCTTCCAGCCTTCCAAACTATACCTTTTTTTTCTAAGAGTAGAAGTCTTTTTTTTTTTTTTTTCCTCCATTCAGATGCTAAAAGTATGAATGTTCCATTATGTTATGGAGATACAGATTAAAAAACCAAATAAAACCAGCTGTAAATCCTGTATGACACAGTGATTGAACTGTTGAGTGAATTCTAGCCTAACCACCAGAATTAAGGCTTATGGAAAGCACTGAGTAACAACAATCTCATAGACCATGTGCTCAAGAAGAACCAAAACCGTATCTTCTTTTTCATTTGGCTAGCTAAAGGCACCTACATGTCTAAGGAATGACTTTATAAACCATCACCTAAATACAACAGTTTTTAATACCCCCTGAAATGTTCTTGTCAAATTACTTCAAAAAAGCAAACAAAGCACATTGCTTATATTCAAATTTATTCTTTGCTAAAAGGAAGACCACATTTCTCCCACATTTGTTTTTAAAGTAAGAAGTCACTACAAGCAACTAAAGTTATAGTCTTTGTTTCTATTGCCATTATCCCTTTGGATATATCCTTTACTTAAAAAATGGCTAGAGACAGCAATTTTACATCATTGCCTTTTGAACTAACAGTTCTCTAAAATTGCACTAGGCCAATTCCATAGTATCACCTGGTCAACACTGTAGACACTGAAATCTTATGGTTAACTTGAAAATATCTTAGTAGTCTGGCTATACTCCCCAACAGCACTAAACAGTATTATAAATTTCTGATAGTTCAAAGTACCATGTGTTTTTTCCATTTTTAAATCAAGAAACAAATTGGAGGAGCGATGTTGATGCATGTGGCTGAGTGTCTGTTACATGCACACGTAGTTTTAGGAGATAAATTTGCCTTTCCATTTAAGAATGGGATTAAATGATGAAAATAACATGAGCAACTGAAGTTTTTCTGGGATTTTCTTCTTAGACACAACTGAAGATAACCAATGATACCCAAGTGCTAGTAACATTCAGCTGTAACCCATGTTTTGCTTGGGCATGGAGAATTTCGTGGCTACCAGGGCAAAGCCACAGCACACACAGAGTTAACCATGCCCCCCCTTTCTTCACCCCCCTTTTCCCCCACCTCATTCATGCCACATTCCACAGTGGCAGGGTCCAACAACAATATAGGAGGGTACCCAAAATGAAGGGGCAGGGCCTTCCATTCTTCTGCCTCTCTTGAATTAATTAACTGGAAATGAGTTTTGTCAATGTTTTGGAAAGGCAGAGGGGTGAAAAGAAACTGCTAGAATTAATCACAGTGAGAAACTACCTCTTCAGCAGTCTGCCAGAGTTCAGAAAACCCATGAGAAGTGCAAAATAAAAGGAAAGTGGGCTGACTTACCATCCAAAGGAACAAATAGAATTCAAACAAACACCCAAGTCTCCAAAACAGAGACATGCCCCAGTGCAAAGGAATGTAGCATCTGTTGCCACAACAGCTTCAGTTTTGTTTTTAATACACTTGTCATGAAGACTGAAAGGTAACAATGTAGAAAAGACAATTTACTAATAATTTAAATACACAGAAGGCATATCATGTTTAATTCACTAAACATTTATGTGCCTACAATGTTCCAGTGATCCTTATGCAAGTACAGGTATTTAAGCACCATGATTGATATAGAGTAACTTTCATAGTTTAGCCCTGACTCAGCACAGACCTTTTAAACAGAGATGGGAGACTGCAAAGCAGTTATTTCCTTGAGTTTTTAATGACAGTCATCTTCAGGTATCTTCAGCAGTGGGAATTGTAACAACTGCATGGATTCTAAAAAAACCATAAAGCAATGAAATTTCAACCATCTGAGAAGGATCTTCTTTCAGAGATTAATTTAGCTAGGTATATACAAAAATGTGTAGGTGTCCTTTTATTTACAACAGTATGGCAGAAGTATCATTTGACCATTTTCCTGAGAATGAAAGTAACACTTTCAGCAGACTGAAATTAAAGCTGAAGAAATCTTGATTGGCTGAGCACAAAAAAAATAACTTAAAAGAGAAATCCTCTTTTAATGATATGGCTGTTCTTAATTTTTTTTTTCAGGAAGGCTTTTTCCTGACAGATCTCAGAATTAACTTGTCATCTCGTTTCTCTATCTCTAAACCCATGCTCTCAAGAGCAGAATTGTCTGCCAGCCCCTTCTCCTCCATCTGTGCAATAAGCTCTTGGTTTCTCTCATTCTGTTCAGTGAGATTTCGGATAGCATATACTGCCCACTGGCTCACAACTGTTGGGCAAAGTTAAGGATCATTTGTTTCAAGATGAAACAATGCTTATTTTAATTTATTACTGCATTCCCTCCTCCCTGCCCACCATCCTCCCTTTCCCCCCTCCCCACCTCCCAATCTCTCAAACCCAGAAAAACAGTAGACATTAAAACTTTGAAAAAGTAACATTTACAGGCTATGACTCTGAACTCACAAATACTTGCATATGAGGTAATTTAAGTTTAAATGATGTATGTCCATTAACAAGTTTACTAGGTTTTATCTTGAATTAAAACAAATAAAAAACAAAACATACAGCAACAACAGGAATTAAAAGGACATATCGTTTAAAACCAAAATTACAGTTAATTGAAATGATCCAATGATCTTCTTAGTGAGAGTAAAAAAAAAAGTTTCCAATTTGAACACTTCAACACTCACTTCCAAGGACTGGAGAATACAGAAAGCCATAAATCAGGTACAAGAAAGAAGGCAATTATTATTTTCACTGTTAAAGTTGAAATATGCAGAAAAAGAAAAACATCTTACTCACATAAACAACTGAAAATAGCACAAATAAAGGGGGAGACATAAAAATATTTAATTTCTAATGTTATCCAAACTCAGTTCTTTGTGCCTGGCTGCTTCTACAAAGCTGTCAACAGAACAGGCACTATGATCACCAGCAGGTAGCTCCTGTTCAGGTTAAAATGGATACAAGCTGCAACTCATTCACCTTCTAAGGTGGTCCCTTGGGGCCAGGATTGAGGCACATGTCAAGGCTTTAGACAAAGGATTTAAATTCCCAGGATTATCAGTCAGGCATCTTCCAAGCAAAGCACAGTGTTCATTTTATGAAGTGTCAGAGATGTTAGCCCCAATTCTGCAGCTGAAAAGCTATGCTATGATATAATCTTTCCCAAGTTACCCATATGGGAGGCAAGCTATTCTGAATCACACAAAAGTGGTTTGCCTGCAGGGCACCAATTATTTACTACATGTAGCTTCACATCCAGTAGAAGAATATGCATAATTTACTCGTCTCCTTGACGTCTTTTGGGTTGGATGGTGTCTATGCAGAGAGACAAGATAGTGTGCTTATGGGCATTTGCTAGGGGGTGACTGGAGGGGAAAATGCCTCAGCTGTGGAAGATGGGAACTTCAGCCAAGAGACAGAGGAATTGGACTTTCCTACACCATCTATCATGAAAGCACTTGGAAAATCTAGTATCACTGCAGGTACATCCATACAGTAGCAGTCTTCACACTTTCTCTGTGCACCTTGCACTGACTTTTGTGCCTACCTCCTGCCACCTCCAGCTACCCCTTAGGTTTCTAGACTTTCAGCAGAGGCAACTTCTCATGCTGGGTTGCTTGATGTACCAGGCAATGTGGACAAACAACAGAATGTAGCAGAAGCAGCTTTCTTAATGTAAGACTGAGTTCTACCTTCACAAGTTTACATTTTAAAAGAGAGGAAGTGATAAAATGAAGATACAGGAGAAAAAAAAAGTTTATAACTATACCTAACCACAGAACTACTTAGATGCCAAAAAAGAATCAAGGAGGGACTGAAATAAAAAGCACACAAGGAGTCACCTGAGAGAAGGTTTAAATTTAGAGTAGCTCAGACAAACACCACAGGAAACATGCATGCTAGGGGATATACTGCATTGGCACATGTAAGTGAAAAAGCCCTCTGCCTTTTAATAGAAGTTTATATTTCTTTTCACAATTAAGTAGCACAGAATTGACAATGAAAAATGGCAAATCAGTAACAATCACAGGGCTTTTTTTCTGACAGAGTTCTTCAGACTTTGTCAGGAAACATGCTGCATAACTCCTTCATTTAAAAAATTCTGGCCAAAAGCTGGATTCAGGTGGGGTAATGACAGAGAAGAGATATTAAGAAAAAAAGAAAATTTCGTATCACCTCAAAGCCTTCATAGGTGAACATGACTGAGAATATCAATGTATTCTCTTCTGTCAGTACATCACTAAAGTGGTTAGGTGCAAAGACAAGTGCCAGACTACACCTAAGTTAAACAGACCTTAATTTTTTATTTCCAGTATTTATTTCCACTGAAGAGAACACGAGTATATAAACCAATAATAAAATAACAAAGAAATAATATCATATATAAGCTGAATCTCTCTCATCAGCTCCAATGGTGAAAATAAATTTTAGAAGTATGGAGGCTGATGAATACACATGAACAAACAGAAGAACAAAGGCTGATGCCTAGCTGGTCTTTCTGAGGTCTGATTTAAGGCACTTCACAAGTGCCAAAAAGTAACATAAAGTCCTCCCAATGCCCTGTGAGAAACATGCTAATACCCTCCCTGCCTCTGCTCTTGGGATGAGAAGCAGACTCCTCTTGTTGTGTTCCTAAAATACAACTCTGCATAAAATACAGCACTTGGATAGAGGTTATTTTCAAAGAGTGACAGCTCTCAATCGTGCAAAGTGCCAAACAGAGAAAAAGTACTCTCAAAAATTCTGTTACGTATTAGCCTTGGGAATAATTCTGTTACCATCATCTTTATGTCCTTCAACACAAAAACACTGTTAAACCTCACAGCAGATGCTTTCCTATTATCATATCCATTCATGCTTACATAATATCTAAGACACCCCCATTATCTTATGAACTCTGTCATCATTATGGCATTTATCATTATTGACTACTGTAGCTGAAACTGCAAAATGGTTTCAATAATGTTTTCACTCACTCAAAAACTCTTTTCTGCATGTAGGTTTTCCATTGTGAATTCAGTCATGAATATGCATTATTTCCCTTGTTCACATGCTGTGTGAGGCTAAGACCTTTGGATGGCTGTGTGCAGACCTAGACAGACTTAAGTGTCAGCGGAGATTAAAGCTAGTCCCTAGCTAATATTCACATTACCCTCTTGCTCCTCTCTAAAGACAGAGACACAGAGAGAAAATTAAACATATTCTAGAGCCTCTAATCCTACCAACACTTTAAGCACTTTATTGTATGCTCAGCTTTAGAAAGAGAGCTTCTAAAGTTTCCATAGTTACCACAAATAAGAGCATGAGCCTGTTTGTTGTGAAACTGCATAAAAGAAAAGAAACACAGCAAGCACAGTAGATCTGATTGCGCAGACTTGTCTAGATTTTTCCAAGAGGACACACTACACTCTCAAATTAATTAATACTAGAAACAAGGAAGTGAAGGGTACAATCACAGTGCAAAGGTAGAGAAAAGAAAAAAAATTTCATTTCATTTTGCAGAAGCTTCATTACTAGACTACTCATGTTTCAGGAATGAAAGCAAACATTTGCACGCATTTATAATACGTCTTTTTCAAAATCCATCAGTACTATATGCTATGAGATTCCTATGTTATTCTGACTTAAACAATAACAAAAACTGAATCAACTTGCTCTGTGTTCCATATTTGTGTAATATCTTCATGTAGCTATTTAAAATTTACCATGTGTACTCCTCTACGTTGTAACTTCAGTTGTCAGGGATGGGGGTGTACAGGGAGAATGGAAGAGAGGTGGAAAACATCTGCCAAATGAAAAATTTTACTATTTGGAATCAACATAAACCATGAAAATATATGCCACTAAATCCTGTGAAGTTTTGCCACTGACTGCAAAGGGAACTTTTTACAATTCTCTTGTTTCTTTTCATATGGGTTCTGCTACAATAACTTGCTAGACTTAATGCTAGCAATAGCTCTGTGACTGTTTTATAAATTTAATGGGGTATGAAGTTACAACCACATACTGCCAGGAGTCGCTGACCATTATCCTATTGCCATGCACTTACAAACCATTTCCCAAAGAGAGTATTCCAGCTTTTGATTCATGATAGGAGGTCCAATTCAGACTTACTGTTATTGGCAAGTTTGTTAGAGCCATCAGGACCCCTATGAATTGTTCTATAAAACAATATGGATTCTGTGATGAAAGAAAATAGACATAATTATTAATGAGGTTTTAATCTGATGAGGCAGATATGCAGCAATGCACAAGAAATCTTGAAAGCATGTTGGTTGAAAAAAGACAAGTATTAAGTTTAAAGGTTAAGTATTATCATTGACTAATACAGGATACTAAAAAGTGGTGACAAGGAGAATGAAATAACATACATCTGTTTTCTTAATACTCCTTGATAGCTATTAGTACTGAGTAATTTCTAAATATAATGACGTTGGTGGGGAGTTTGATTTATGACATAGTGTAGACACATTTTTTTCAGTTAGACCTTTTCTTGCACTACAGTTGCTTTCCAGTAATTAAATGATTACGTAGGGAACTTTCTTCCCGATGAGAAAAAGAGAATATTCTGCCCAATTTCATTATATTATTAAATAAGATTTTTACTATTTAAATACTAACTACATTTTAATCAAATATAGGAAAAGACACAAAAGCTCATCAAGAACAAGAACCCACACAGGTTGGAACTCTAGTCAAATGGGCAACAGCTAAGCCACTCAACTTCTCTTAAGAGCTTTTCTGGAACAGGTCTATAGGGCTAGAAACCAGAGATAAAGAAAATACAATTCTTGTTAATTATATTTCTTTCTGGACTTCAAAAAGTAATCCAATTATCACTAAAACTTCTGTAGACAGGAGTGAAGTACTAAAGGGTCACATTAGAAGAATCACTTCCACTTGCTGACCTGACTGGACCACACTGAAAAGACATAAATCATTTCCCCTTCAAGTCTTTCAGTTCTTTTAAGTACTTTTGTTTCACAGTAACTTGAAGATAATTCTTCTCGCCACTAAAAGAGGTCTCTAGACAGCTACTGCAACTGTTAATCTCAGTTCAGATCAATGTGCCGTGATTGACCACACGTACTAGACAGTCAGGGTTTTGGTCCCTCAGAGTCTGCCAAATTGCTTACAAAGCTCTACAAGTTTCTTCCTGTTGGGGGTTTTACTAGTTTTATGAAGTCCTAAAAGCTGCACAGAATGGTAGTAATTCCTTTCAACTCCTCCTTTACCTGTTTAACGTAATTTTTACTTCTGTTT